CCCCAAAACCCCAAAACCCCAAAACCCCAAAACCCCAAAACCCCAAAACCCCTTATCGCCTATTTCTTATTGAAAGGGGAAATATGGGTCCGTTTTGGGCAGCTGATGTTGTTAAGACAGAGTTAAAGCTATAAGAACAGACTCAGAAAGGTACCGATAATTATAGCCACACTTCTATATCGGAAATAAGGTAATTCTACCTGCCCATACTTCCTGGAATCATTAATCAAACTTTATTAGGCTTGTGACCAATCGCACTCGATGGTTTAGGACAGTTTGGTAGAACTATTTACCCGAATTTCATATCTATCACTGTTGGATTCTTGATTTTGACATGTATATCTTCTCAAAAGCACTCGAATTTCACCGTTGGTTGCTGAGAACCAGACTTTGTTGTTTGAGCTGAACAGAGAAATGTAAGATTCGTGAGATTTAGTACTAAGAATACTTGATTTAATATTGCTATTTTTGGTAGATCAAAAATCCTTTCTGAGACAAGAGTGTTCTTATTATAAGTAAGAAAATTTTTCTCAAAAGACTAGTTATCACTAAACTCATAATTTTTCATGCATTGATAAAGTTCGGAAAATATGAAGCTACTGTTCTCTTTGCTAAAAATATCAGCTTGAGGTTGCTTTTACCCAACTTCCTCAATAACTCTTGCAATAATTATCAAAATTATCAATATTTTATGAAAAATTCATCTAAAATTTATTTTGAAACTCCCGACTCTATCCAAGAATAGGCATATGAGTTTCTAAAGTATTATTTGAACATTCAGCTTCCTCCTCGACTAATAGGAAGTTCAACAGTGATTAGAGCAGCAAGGAGGATGCTGAAACATATACGACAAAACCTCCACCTCTCAAATTCTTCTGGGGAATACCTAGGTTAAATTTGTGTATGCTTCCAAATACGGATTGCTAATAATACAAATCCCAAATAACAATCTAATTGGGGTGGTTACTCAGGCTATATAAACTGAACTAATACATGACAGTCTTGCTCTTAAATTATGCACAAAACACTTGATTTATTCATATAGAACTATTTATTATAAACTTATGAAGATCTTCATAACAGAGATCTACCTTTATAATCTAATTTTTGTAGCAAAAGATTCTCAAAAATTACCAAGGTCTCCATTTTTAATGTTAAATTTTAAATTATATTAATGAGGCAGCAGGCTATGCTTTGGCTATTCCAACAACTAGTAGCGCTAACCTAAGATAGATTTAGTCCCTTTAATAATTACTGATCCATATTGGGTCTAGTTTGTTCCTAACTCAGGGTGCCTATCAGAATATTTAACATTGGTGAGAGACTAAGCCCAGCCTTATTATCTGAATAAAAACCAGTATTTTAGGGCTCACCATAATGGAGAAAAGATCCAAAAAATTGCCCGAAATAAAGAGAAGATGCTAGTAGAATAATGTTAGTGTATTAATGTTTATTGGACTCCTACTAGAGGAGGATATCGCTAGTCAGACCTGGCCTTATATCTTCCGACTATATTCCTGCCAGGATTTATTGTCTAGCATATTTAATGTATTGGGTGACCCCAGCATTGTGGTGGGAGTCATTTGATCATCTGGTTTGCAGAAGGATCCTTTTGGAATTTCTAATGTACTAAGACCTTGTCTGGCTCTTTCCATCATCGATTGTGACTCAACCGGAGAAAAACTGGAGTCGTAAAATCCGGTAGGATAAGTTTCTTGACATCCAGCAAGCATCTCACAAAGGCAATATTTGGATGAAAGAGTCATCAGCAAGCTTGTAGTATAATCATAGCCATATAGTAGAGAGTTGAACATCTCTTGAGTTGTCTGATCAAAAATTTGGGGCTCACTATCTTGAAAAGACTGAGCACCAGTAAAGATTTCAGGAGCTGAAACTGACTGTTTCTCACTAATCTTCTTAGACTTCCTGACTGTATTCTTTCTTGAGTACACCTTATAGCTCTTCTTCTGGTAGCTCTTATGACTAGCTCTGTGTAGTCATAGCTTAGCTCTCTGTCTGAAAGCTTCAGTGCATCCGTCTATTCCACAGATATAAGGAGTTTCGTTAGTATGGATATACTCATGCTCCTTATTTATACTGCTCAAGAGCAAACTTTTTGTTACAAAAACGTCAAGCAAACTTTCTCTTGCCAGAGTGGGTGATCATGTGTCTCTTCAAGGCAAATTTAGTGCTGTACTCTTTGTTGCAACCTGCGTGGGAGCAGACATATTGCTTCGAGTTCTTTTCAACTTGCATGTTTGTTTTAAATAATATATTACGATACATTAATTTTCCCAACTTATATAGCTTTTAAAGGGGTTTTGGGGTTTTGGGGTTTTGGGGTTTTGGGG